GGGGAGGACGGCACTGCTCCAGCTGCTGTTCCCTCRTGGATAATTCCAGGAGCAGGTTCAGGATCTGGGCTGGGTTAGAGRACCAGTGAGCTGGTTCCCCCCAGCCCTGCAGCTTCACTTTTCCCTGGCTACAAAGCACATTTTCGGATCAAAGTCTGCCATTCCCCTTTCCAGCACCCTGCCTCAGATGATGTCCAGCTTTGCCGCCCTGCTGCTGCCACAAACTGCTTAGTTCCTTTGGATTTACACAAAACCTTATGATTTTTCCTTCTGGAAATGGTCACAGCTCCTTCTTTGCACTATGGCTCACGTTCATCCCAAAGTGCTCAGTTTGTCCCAAGTCCCACAGGAGCCATCCCTGGGAGCAGGACCCGGCCTGGGCTGTCCTGCCAGGGGACACACCTGCAGGTTCCCTCCTGCCCTGCCAGCCCTCTGGAGAAGCCTCCCTGCCCTCCCTGTGGCTGTTGTGGGCTCAGAGGAACGCAGCTGCAGTGCTGTCACCGAGGTGATGCGGGTGTCACCAATCCTTATCTCCGGCGGGGACGGTGCCGCTCCGGCTGCTCCTTCACCGCCACGGCCAGGGAGGTTTGTTTTGCTCAGATAAGAGATGTGCCRTCACAGGAAGGGTTCTGGAGTGTCTCATATCCTTGTGCAGGTCATTAGGATGCTGGTGACATCAGTGGGACTAATTGTACCCGAATGGCTGCGCACTCAGGACCCAAATATTCCAGTGGCTCTGTTCTCTTGGTGCTTTGCAGTGGGCAGTGAGCCAGCTGGAGCCAGGGGACTCTCACCAACCAAATCCTTCCTCACTTAAGTGGGACTGACCTTCCACCACCTCTAGGTTTATGGAAATAAACTGGATCCCACACAACAACGTGATTGAATTGGCACGGAGTGAACCAGCTCRGTCCAAGTTGGGACTTTCTCCTCCACCTTTAATGGTTTGTTCTGTTGCTCCTGAGCAGTGTTTTTTCCCTCTGTTACACACGAGGAGGGTCAGGAGTGAGCACTCAGGACAGCCAGACTGGGGTGTTTAGGGGATGAGAAGGTGACACCTCCAGCACTGCTGAGCTCCCATAGTTTGGTCCCACACACAGATGAGCCAGGGCTGCTTTGGACAGTTTTGTCCAATTTATCTGACATGGCAGGCRTCGCTTTCCTGGGATTCCTCACTGTGTCTCGGAGTAAAGGTCTCCTCCCTTCCAGGTGTCTGGCACCCAAAATCATTTTCTTGTTAAGTTGTGACCAGCGGTTACCATTTTGCTATTACCATCACTTCAGCATGAAACCAAAAAAGGCTTTGCATTTACCCTTATCAGTTACCTCGGCTGTGGTTTTGTTTGTGGCAAAGATCACAAACTGAAATGTCCTGGCCATGTGGTTTTGTCCTTGCAGAAAGCAGCAGRTTCCAGGTTCAGCTCTCAGTAGGGAATGCCTGGGAGGATTCAGACTTTCACTTCTCACCAGCTCCAGTTGTTCCAGGGAATATTCACTTGAATTACCTCCCTTATTTTATTGAAGGGAGTGTCCATGCAGGAGACAGGAAGGTGTTCTATAGGGCTGCACCCACCCCCATTCAGTCTGGTAATCCCAGGAGGAAGGGCAGCAGAACGAGGGGAAGCAGCCTGACCCTCAGTGCAGGTTAGTCCTGGACTCAGTGGGAGCAGCAATCAGGATGGAAGGGACCTTTGGAGGTCCTCACACTTCTTAAACAATGCCAGGGTCAATGGAGGGGACTGTTGAGGGCCTTTTCAACCTGAATTAGAAGTTCTCCAGGAATGGAGATCCCTCAGCCTCTCTGGATCTCTGTTCTTTTGCTGTCCCACTGTGAGTTTTCCTGTTAAACCATGAGCCTTTTGTCTCTTTGCCTCGCAGCTCCACAGACAGCCCTGCTCTGCCCTCCCTAGGTGTAGGGTCTCTTTTGGGTTAAGCTGAGGTTAAACACACTCAGCTTTGGGCAGAATTGGTTTGCTCTGTCCCATTTCCATCCCCCAGAACCTCCAGCTCCACATYTCTGTGCTTCCCTGCCCTCCCTGAGCCCCTGCCTGTTCCTGCCCTGCTGGTTCCATGAGAACAGCTGGGATGGCGAGTTTGGGTGTTATACCCACCCTGCTTTAGGGTTACCCTCTGCTGTCAGGGCAATTGCACCCTCGACACTTGGAGTGCCTTGGACAAGTGTTGCAAACGAGCCCAAACCACGGTGGGCCAGTAAATAATGGTCCTAACTCAGTGTGTGCRGTTGAAAAGGGACTCTCAGGGTTTCTGTACTGCAGATGCCATTAAATGGTCATCTGATACTGAATATATGCTGGAGCTCCATCCCAAGAGCTGCGTTCTGCCAGCCTGCTGTCTGTGACAAATGTCCTGTGTCCAGCAGGATGTGCTGGGGTGGTGCCAGACAGGGCTCGTGGCCTCCCCCAGCCTCCCCAGGTAGCAGGGGCTGAGGCACGGGGGAGGAGCTGGCCTGGAAAAAACAGGGTTACAGGGTGAAGGATCCTCTCTTCAGCAGGGAACTGTGGGGTGTCACACAGGGCAGGAGCTCAGGACCTGCCTCAGGTCCTTGTTCTGGCACCCACATTCTCCATGACCTTGGGCCAGCAGCCAAAATGTCACGTTTATCCAGTAGGTTGGAGACAGTTGGAGACTCCTCACGCATGGCTGGGCACGGTGGGAGCACCCACAGCTCGGTGCCAGGCACGTGGGGGAAGAATCCAGCTGCTTTGGGAAAACAAGCACCAGTTCCTCACCCAAAACCAGCTCCTCACCAAACCCAGCTCCTCACCAACCCCAGCTCCTCACCAACCCCAGCTCCTCACCAAACCCAGCTCCTCAACCAAACCCAGCTCCTCAACCAAACCCAGCTCCTCACCAACCCCAGCTCCTCACCAACCCCAGCTCCTCACCAACCCCAGCTCCTCACCAAACCCAGCTCCTCACCAACCCCAGCTCCTCACCAACCCCAGCTCCTCAACCAACCCCAGCTCCTCACCAACCTCAGCTCCTCACCCAACCTCAGCTCCTCACCAACCTCAGCTCCTCACCCAACACCAACTCGCCCAACCCCACTCATCAAATTCCAGCTCCTATCCAGACAGAAGTTCCTCTTTTCCTTGGGAGCAAACAAAGGCAGTCCTGTCCCGGGACAAGGCTCAGCATCCCTCTCTCACTGCTGCCACCTTCGCCTCTCTCTGTGCTCTCCTGTCCCTGCAAACAACAATCCCCTCACCCCTCAGGATCAGTCTGTGCACACACACAGATATTCATTCCATGGCTGAGTGTAGCCTCCAGCTCTGCTCTCTCTACAGTCAATAAATAATCCAAAAAGTGTAAAAATATCCAGATTCTGTACAGGATGGTGCTGAACTAATGTAATCCTCCTCGGGAGCCTCTGAGATCCTCCAAGAGTTCCTTCTGTGGAGCACATTAGTATTGCAATCCATTATACACAGGGACAGGAGTCTAGAGAGGAAATGATTTGGAAAATGGAACGGACTCGGGTCCCAAACTATTTCTCATCTGAAAGCCAGAAATGTGGCATTTAAGGGATGCCAGTGGAAGTGAGCAACACCAGCATCGTTCTTGTTAATGTACAGTGAGGGGATATCTCCTCCTGACATCTCCCCTGGCACCCAAGGCAACACCAAACGTGTTCCCTGTGCCAGGAGAAAAGGGTCTCTCAAACTCCATCAGCCACTGTCCCTTAAAACCCACACCAACCACCCCTTCCTGCTTTGTCTGGGGGTGAAGAGAGAGCTTATGGCTGCCCTAGGAAAATCAGGGCAGGGCATTTCACACTGCGATTATCCCACTGTGTCTGTGATATTCACAGAGAGGAGAAAAATCCTGGAGGATCCAAAGGGAAGACATGGGCTGCAGCTGAACTGCGTGCCATTGCTTTTTCCTGGCAATAGCAGGGAGACCTCAGCAATTCCTGATGAGCACAAAGCACAGGGTAGACCTGTGTTGACATCAACCCCTGGAAGTTGTGTAATCCTTTTTCTCTGGCTCACGGTTCTCCTTTGAAAAACACTCCCAGCACTGCTGGAGTTTGAGCTCTGTGCAGAAAAAGCAGGGCTTTCAGGATGTGGGGATCCCACTCCTGACCTGGGTCAGTTCTGAAGGAGTTTGGCTTGGGCAGGGCAGTTCTGGTGTCACTTTTTAGCATCGGGTCGTGATGGGGGCAGTGCTTTGTGTGCCAGGAGCAATTTGTCTGCTCTGGGAAATGATGGAGAGGTACCATAACCYTGGGCTGAAGTGAATTAGAGAGAGCACATGAGAAACCAAACAATGGCCAGGCCAGCCTGGAAATACTCACAGCAGGCTCACAGAAAGAAATGGAGCTTTTAACCCATATTTTTTTTTTATTTTATTATTATTACTATTATTGCTTTTTTTTTTTCTGGTTTTGGTAGTGATGCCACAGTGATTTTTTTGCATTTTCCCTTCTCTATATCTGTAACCTTCCCAGCACTTTTCCCCACCCTTTTCCCAGCCAGAAAGCCCAAAACCCATTCCAGAGCTCCAAGCCCCGGGGGCACAAGGTCCCATCCTGTCCTGGTTCTTCCTGGGAACCAAGGCTGGGAACAAGGTCTGTCAGACCCATTTCCATCAGCAAGGACAGCTGGGACCGAGGGTGGGGGGCTCCAGAGAAGGGGCCTGACCTGGGGGGAATTGCATCACCCCTTGTCCTCCGAATTGGTGCTTTTTATCAATTCTGCTAATTTCCTAAAGCCTATCAAACTGCATTCACCCCTGTGGGGGGCTTTTGTGGATATTGTTCCATGGCTGCCCCTGGAGCTGCAATAAAGACCCAYTTTTATATCACTTCCTGTACTAAAATCAYCTYCAGTTTCATTTAATTTCATTTCTTTTCTGAAAAAGGCAGCAATAGAAACCCAACTGCTWCTGGATTCATGGACTGTGCAAGTCAAAAATACTGAATTCTAACTGCCATGTGAAAATAAGTTTCTTTTTCCTTTTTTTTCCTGTCTCACCAGGGCTCTGGCTGACATCCTAAGGCAGCAGGGACCAATCCCAATCGGACACTGTGAAAGAGAGACAATCTCGGCCATAGATACCTCCCCCAAAGAAAACACGCCAGTCAGGACCTCTTCCAAAAACCACTACACGCCGGTGCGCACCTCCAAGAGCAACCCCGGTGAGTGCTGCTCGCTCCCTCTCCTCGCAGCCGTGTCAAAACATCGCAGCAGCCTTTGTAAACCCAAAATTAGGAAGGCAAATGGCTTTGGGAGGCAGTCAGGTGGAGCAGGGGAGTGCAGGGATCGGTGCTGATGATYCTTGCAGGTTTCTGCTGAACAGAGCCGCTCTCCTCTCCAGGMCTTTTAAAAATTCACAGCCGCTGAGGTGTAAATGCAGGTTGTACCCGGAGCTGCTGTTGAGCTGTGTTTTTCCTACAAAACRCATCTGCTGCAAGGCATCACCAGGGCTCTCTGAACTCAGCAGCTGAGGGGAAGAGTTCCAYGGGACTGGGGAATGCAGGTGAACCGCAGGAATGTGCTGGGATGGTGCACAATGTGACCTGGAGGGCATCCCAGGAGCTCAGAGGTGCTCCAGGAGCCCTGGCCTGGGAATTAGGGCACCTCTTGGGCTGTTTTCAGCTTCTTTTGGCGAAAAAAATATAACTTCTTTTTGCCTTGATTTCCCCAGCGGCCCAGGGCTCACAGCCTGATAGCTTCAGACATTGTTCTGGTTTATTTAATGTTCCTTGGGGGGAGAATTGTCACAGCTCTGTGGCTGCTGCCCTGGGCTCGGGGGCTGTGGCAGGGGCTCCATTCTTGGAGCTGGATGTGTGACTGTGCACACAAAGCTGTGCCCTCCCTCCCTCCCAGGCTGCTCAGCCTCACCTGGAGGGTTCTGSTCGCATTTCCTGCTCTGTGTCCCCCGGTTTTGCTCGTGGTCCCTGCTGGGGAAGGCTCTGAAGGAARCCAGGGGAGTTGTGGGCTCAGCGGGCCCTTGGCTGAGGCAGAGCTGGTGTGTGACTGTGTGAACGGTTTTGAGGCAATGTCCTCACCCTGTGGGGACAGCCCCAGGTGACAGTGTCCCCTGGAACCCTCCCTGCTGCTGGGTGCCAAGCACCTCCCCTGGGAACCGAGGAGGATCCCTTGGCTTCTCCATTTTCACCCCAAAGCCAGTGAGCCCCGTGATTTGGTGTGTGAATCTGGATCTGTGAGCCCAAACCTTGCTCTGGAGAACAGCCCTGGGGGTGAAGTGCCTGGGAGAGGGAGATGCTTCTGCAAATCTGGGGCTTGGGACTAGCTCTGGAGAGGATTTGTAGTTCTGTCCCAGGAAAAGGACACAAGGAAAGAGGGATTGTGGCTGGTGCACAGGGACAGACAGGACAAGGGGACATCCTGGACATCAGAGGTGGTGTCACCTTAGGGTGACAGGGGTCTAGAGAATGAGTCCTGGGAAGGGTCTGGAGCCCCAGGAGAGGCTGAGGGAGCTGGAAAGGGGCTCAGCCTGGAGCAAAGGAGGCTCCGGGGGGACCTTGTGGCTCTGCACAACTCCTGACAGGAGGGGACAGCCGGGGGGGTCGGGCTCTGCTCCAGGGAACAGGGACAGGAGGAGAGGGAACGGCCTCAGGCTGGGCCAGGGCAGGGCCAGGGGGGACATCAGGAGGAATTTCCCCATGGAAAGGGTGCTCAGGCCTTGGCAGGGGCTGCCCAGGGAGGTTTGGAGTGCCCATCCCTGGAGGTGTCCCAGGAAGGGCTGGAGGTGGCACTGAGTGCTCTGGGCTGGGGACAAGGTGGGGATGGGCACAGGATGGACTCCATGGGCTGGGAGGGCTTTTCCATCCTCAGGGATTTGGGATTCTGTGCCATCAACACCTTCTGGACATGCTCTGTCTCCTCCCACTGGCTCTGTTGCTCCATCAGGGCACCCAAAGGCAGAGGAAAGGTGGAGCAGGAGTTCTCTGCTCGCAGCTGAAGGCACCAGCTGGGTGCTGGCAGCCTGGCTTAGGTGMTGTGTGAGATCTGAGCAAAGACAAATGGGAGTGTTTGGAGGGGAACTGTTCATTGCAGAGTTCCTGCCTGCTGTCTGTGAGGAGCTGAGGATGCCAGGAGACATTTCTGAGCCTTCCCTKGGTGTGAGTGGAGGCACAGAAGGATGCAAGGATCAGAGCAGGGGTGTTGTGACCCCACAATGCAGAGGAACAGCACCCAGTAAGGAGCTACTGGTCCTTGCTGGGGACTGGGGTGTGAGATGAGCCCAGCAAAGAGGCTCAGCAGAGAAAGGCAGGATGTTAGCAGGACCCAGCTGTGCTTGCCCAGGCTGTGTGAGGGGAAAAGCCATCCCAGCCCAGCTGGAACAGGCAGGAGCCCACCCAGGGGAGAAATCCCCAAACCCAGGCACACAGGAGAGCACTCCCAGCACAGCCTCTCTGGCTGGATCCCACAGCCTCAGAGCAGCCAGCTGGACTGAGCCCCTCAGCAGCCCTGGCCAGAGCTGGGAAAGGGGAACTCACCCAAAAGAATCCATTCCTGGCTCAGCTGTGGCCACCATCAGCAGCTCCTCATTGATCATATCAGACAGAAAGCTGATCCCTTACACAGATCACGAGCTCATAAAACAGCTTTACAGATAATGTTGGCTTGTAATGTTGGCTTGTAATGTTTTATGGTCAGAACAAGGCGATGCCCTGCTGTATCTGTACTCTGTTACTGAGCTAAACTTCAGGTTATTGTGGAGATTAAAAAACTAGAGAAGTGGATCCTAAAATCTTTCACTGGGGAAGGAAGTAAAAATTGGAAAACTAGTATGTGTCCTACCTTGTTAAATAGAATAAAGCTGGTCAGCTCTGGTGTGGAGTAGAAAATTAGCAATATTTGTTTTTTTGGGGAGAAGGGGAAAAAAAAAAAAAAAAAAAAAAAAAAAAAAAGCAAAGAAGGAAGTAAGAACAGCTGGAGGAACAAAAGGCAGTAATATGGAATAGCAGTATCCAGGCAAGGCACTGCTCACTGGTGCTGCAAATTGGCTGAATGAGCCCAGAGCTGCAGGGTTTTGTGTGGGCACCTGAGAAGCAGCAGGGCTGTGTCTGTGTCTGTGTCTGTGTCTGTGTCTGTGTCTCATGTGAGGAGCCCGGGCAGGAGAGGGTCAGCAGCCAGGAAGGACCGTCCTTGCTGCACCCCAGCTGATGGAGCTCTGTGTCTGTTTGACTGGGAACTTTCGGTTCCAAACTGATGATTGGAAGGGTGTCCCCAAATCCTGCTAAATAGACCTCGGCTCTGTTTTCCCATCAGGCTGGCAGGGTGTCAGTGAGCAGTGGGATTGCAGGTGACAGATCCAACTGGGCTGGGCTGAGGCTGCAGCACCTCCTGCCTGCCAGAGGATTCCTCAGGGAAGTGGGGAGATGAGCCCATTCCGTGCATGCAGCTACTGCTCCTGTAGGACCCCAGAATCCCACAGTGGGTTGGGATCTCACAAATCTCCAGKGCCACCCCTGCCATGGCAGGGACACCTCCCACTGTCCCAGGTCACTCCCAGCCCCAATGTCCAGCCTGGCCTTGGGCACTGCCAGGGATCCAGGGGCAGCCACAGCTGCTCTGGGCACCCTGTGCCAGGGCCTGCCCACCCTCCCAGGGAACAATTCCTGCCCAATATCCCAKCCATCCCTGCCCTCTGGCAGTGGGAAGTCATTCCCCCTTGTCCTGTCACTCCAGGCCCTTGGGAACAACCCCCCTCCATCTTCCTTGTAGCTCCTTTCAGGTTCTGGAAGGTCACAGTGAGGTCCCTCTGAAAGGTCTCCTCTCCAGGCTGAGAGCTCTTTCAGCCTGCACATATTTTTGAAGACCTTCTGCCTTTCAAAATACTTGAAATATTTCTRGCCTTCAAAGGATATTTGAAGGCTTTTTGGAGCTCAGATGCAAAGGGTTGGTTTGCTTCTCTCAACACTTGTGGCCAAGCAAAGCACCTGTGGTGTTCCCAGATCTGCTCTTGTGGGTGTTCTCTGAGTGCCCAGGGAGCAGAGGGGTGGCCAGCRCAGCACTGGCACACATGCAGGGTGCTCTCATTATTGTTTTCCAAGCCAAGCCAAGATTTCCACCCCAAGCAAGGCTCTGAAGTGTTTTGCTGGTGTAAATCCATGTCCTGTCATAGAGCTGGGATATGGGATGGGTTTAGGGAAACCCTTACGGATTAGGGGCACTCAAATGCTGCCCCACATCTGGTACAAATCTGATCCTCAGGACAGCACATGTCTGAAGTGTTCCTTCATTCTCAGCCTCCTCCTGGCTCTTCCACAGAGCTCCAACTCTTYCCCACAGAGCTTCCCCTGATATCAGTCCCAGCCTGGGAGCAAAGGGATATCCAGGACTATTGGGCTGATGTAGGAAGCTGTGTGGGAAGAGAATTTCTCCAAATCTGTTCAGGATAGGGCTGTCCCTGTCACCCCTGGGAAGTGCTTTCAGCAGTGACGGGTCTCCAGGTGTCCCCACTGGGGCACGAGGCCGGGAGGTGAAATCTGTGCCTGGAATTCYKCAGCTCTGACCCCTTCAGGAGCAGGAGGCCAGGAAGGCAGTGGCAGGACTCYGTTTTGTTGGAGAAAAGGCTCTAAACTGGTTTTATATTCCACTGACCTCTTCATTCTCAGCATGTCCAGCTGCCTCACCGAGGCAATGCATGGGTCTGAATCCCGCTCCAGAGGTGCCAGGGAGGAGCTGACCACAGGGAGGCTTTTCCCAGCATTAAAAACCTCCTGCTCTTCATCTGAGCTGGGGCCAGGGGGACCTGCAGGGGTGAAGAGCAGCTCATGGTCAGGATCCCTGCTAGGGATGCAGCAAAGAGCCCAGGGCAGMGCTCTGATTAGCCTGATCTATCGGGGAAGGCTTTGAGTCAGGATGTTGCTGAGATGGATGCATTCAGAGTGCTACTCTCAGCAGGGCCTCACACCCAGGGCACATTCAGGGCTCGTTCTGGGTGGGGACAGATGCAGGGGAGGCCTTGAATCCTGATGGAGACRGTGGCAAACCCCTCCAGGCAAGGCCAGGAGAGCAGTGTGGGCAGCGTTCTCCACCCTGGGCATCACATCGAGAGGGAGTTCTGGCCCTTCCCCAAAGCCCCGGGATCCAGAATCCCTCCAGATTATCCCTGTCTTCCCCTAAATCCCAGTGGGATCCAGAATCCCTCCAGGTTATCAGT